TTTCAATATCTAATAGAGAAACGCAAGGCTGAAGCTGAAAGAATTAGACAAAAGTATCCAGACAGAATTCCGGTACGTTAATGTTAAAGGCGCAGCAAACAACCAAGATTTAATTTTGCTTATTAGAGTGTTTATTTGAGTGTTTTATTTAGCTAATTTATGTTTATTAAATAAACTACCTATAAACATAGGTTATTTGTGAGAAAGTTGAAAAATCAGACATTGCAACAATTGATAAAAAAAAATATCTTGTTCCAGCTGATCTCACGGTTGGTCAGTTTGTTTATGTAATCCGAAAGCGGATCAAACTGAGCCCTGAAAAGGCTATTTTTATCTTTGTTGATGAAGTTTTACCACCTACCGCTGCACTTATGTCGAGTATTTATGATGAACGTAAAGATGAGGATGGTTTCTTGTATATAACGTAAGTACTTAATCATTTTGGCTTTGTTTTTTCTTATTTCCTTTAATAATTTTTTTTTTTTTTTTTTTTTTTTATGTAATAGATATTCTGGAGAAAATACTTTTGGTATTGAAATGGAGTAAATTAGGGTTGCGACTCGAGCCTTTTTGAATCATGACATTACTACATAGTTTGGGTTTCGAAATTTGGATTTCTACTTCATTTAGGATAATATCCAAAATATTAATATTATGTCCATTCTTAGTCAATAGTGTAAAATTCAAAAAACTAATCAAATTTGTTAACTTCAACGCTATAAATTATTAAACTTTATTTTTATTTTCAAATTAGAAATTTAAGAGGGATTTGATAACCTAGCGGGTCTATTGAATAAATTGATATTTAGGTCTAATGGTCACATCGAAGATGTGCACATAATAAAAATGGTTGTTTTTGACATCCAAATAGACCTTTTGATCAATTTTCCTTCGAAATTCAAATAGAAGTGCTTAATAGTTCTTAGAAAGTAAAACCCTTAATAAAAATTGATCCCTTATATAGTTCCCTATTATCATATTATTGATTAGCTATATATAATTTTTAATTAATAAATGAATTACACGTGATTTGACCAGAATCTCATGTGTCCATTAAATAAAATGTTTCTCAATCTTAGATATTTATTAAATCACACAATCCGAAATTTTCGCTCAATATTTACCTTCGAAGCCCTTTGCAACGAAACGCATTAGCCATTTAGTAAATGTATAGTTAATAACTAAGATATATACTATTAATTGGATAGTCTAATCAGTTCAAGTCATTAGTAACCAATTGAAATTACCTAAATCTATAACCACTACAGCAAGCCTAATTATAGATTTAAATGACGATTATTCTTATATAGGATGCTGAACAGTTTTTAAACTTGGATCCAACTGAATGTCAAAAAATAGTCCATCGAATTTAGATTTTTTTTTTAAAAAAATTTTGCTAAGCCAGAAGATAAACTAGATGATCCAGTACCAACATTGATTAGGATGCTTCCATTCATTGCATACATTTATTTACCGTTACTAATTTTTCTTTAAGCTGTAATTATAATTTATTCGGATGCCACTTAACAAAAATGTAGGATCAGAGCATGTGATTATATTAATACACCATGTACTTGATAATTTTAAAAATATGTGCTGAGTGGTTCATAATACTGTATTACAGTGTGCATGCTATAAATATGTGAGAAGCGAAGACATACATACACAGTCGATTCCGGATATAATGAACATACTTTATAATAAACTTTTTAAAAAAATTTATTATAGAGTTCGGTATAAAAATAGTAAATTACACAATGAGGACCTTTTCGAAATATATGTATATATATATTTTTTTACTGTAGGTTCATTATAAAGAGTTGACTGCACAAAAAATTGATATCATCATTGGAATCCGAAGAATCAAGTGAGGTTATTTAATTTACTCTAGAGTTTGAGACCCAAACTTACTAGTCTGGGATTTACTAGGTTCGCAAAATGTTCCTAATTTGCCGTAATGTCAAGTATTTGTTGATATTTAATTACATTACGACTATGATCCAAATTTTTACATGTTAAAATTGTAGTACAGTGCCTAACATGAGTCTTAATCATGTTTTTTTTCTTTATTATAAATGTGGTTCAACCATATTTCAGCACCAATTGCTTGATAATGTGACCGAGGAGAGGAAAAATGATGATATATGTGATGTCCACCCTGATGCAATTGTAAAAAAAGATTAGATAAATTTTTGGGAATAACAAAAATTTAATAAAATTACGATACCGAGATAGTAATAAACTGAATTTCAGACTCAGATTCTAAAAAAAAAAAAAAAAAAAATTAAAATTAATCGCGCAGAAATAATAATTAAAGAATAAACTCGTAGCAATTACTTTTCTTGTATTCTTCAACAAAACGACTGGACGATTCGATAGGTATAAAATCATCACGATCACCATGAAATACTAAAAATGGGACAGCATCCTCTCGAAGGAGGTGTATTGGTGAGTGTTTTTTTACAAGTGATTCATCTATCGTTGATGAACCGGAATACTTTTCAGAAAGATCAGTAACAGCATTTATCAGTATGCATGCTTTGACGGAAGTGTCCACATCTTCAAACCCTGGTTGAAATTCGGACACATTTGGTGTTAATGCAACTGAATAAAAAACAATAACAATTATAATTTAGTTAATAAAAATAAATTAATAAAAATAAATTAGTAAAATTAGTAAATCGAATTTTCTACCTGTGGCAGCAGTTTGTCCTACAACGCCATCACCTTAGAAAAAACGATTGAGGATTTTAGTATTGTATAATATAAAAGATGAGTTTAATAACGTAACATACCACCAACCGCGACGAAATCTGGGTCACCACCAAAAAATTTGATGTTCTCTTTTACCCATCGCAGAGCTCGTTTCGCATCAAACAATCGAGTAGGATATTTCGGTCTAGTTTTTGCAGAAACTACAACCTAATATAAAAACAATTCTTTTCTTAATATCGAATTGTCTGCAAAGAAAATGGCAAATTGTGGTCACAATTACCCATCCGCGTTCGGCCAAATGACGAATTAATGGATATACGGCACCATTTCCTATCCATCCACCACCAGGAATAAACAACTGAATTAAATAAAACATTTAATAAACCAAATTTTAAATTTCTAAATTTTTATTGGTACTTTTAATAATGTATATGTTACCAAAACCGGTTTCAAAGTGGAAGATTTCCGGGCATACACATCCAATGTCAAATAATTGATTTGTTCAATTCCATCTTTTTTGGCTTCTTGTGCTTCAACATTGGTAGCATAACCGACTAACAAGTAACATATATTCAAAAGTAAGTATAATTTATTCAAGAAAAAAAAAAAAAGATCTAAATTACTCACTATCAGCATAATGAAAGACATTTTCAGGAATGAAACGCGGGTTGACCATACGTTGCCAAAAAGTCTCACTATATTTTTCACGATAAAAAAAAATTAGGAATTATTCGATGAAGAATGTAAAGGTTTAATAAAAGTATATGAATTATTAAAAAATGAATTAATACCTAGTAAATGTTGGTAATTCTTGATGATCAGAATAAGATTGAATTGCAATTTCGATATTGCGCCTGGCTTCATAAGCGTCAATAAAAATCACAACGAGCCTTTATGTAAATAATGAGTATTAATCATCAACTATAACAAATTTAATCAAATGAACACTTTGAAAAAAAGTTGAGATCTTTATATACCCAACCATAGTTAGGAGATCAATAATGTAAAATATTTGAGGAATTATGCCTCCTATCAAAATTTCAAAAAGGTGTTTATTATCAAGAGCCAAATAAGAGATATTTTTCCTTTTATGAAATAGACTCACTGAAGACTCCAACGGCAGAGGCGATAATAATCAGGACAATTTTAAGAAATATTACAGGTAATGGCCATTCAGAAATCAAAGAAAAGCCAATAATTGTAAAGCGTTGAAGTTGAGGAACTTTGGGTAGTTTACCCTCAACACTAGCATAAGTAAGGCCCGCGACAAGAATAACTAGTGCGTAATAAATAATTCCGAAAACCATAATGCATAAAGCTAAGTTTACAAGTTGAAAATTCCTTCTACTCGCAAAAAGTCGTTAAAAATTCGAAGTCACATGATATGAATGTCGCTCATCCGAAACGAAAAATACGAGAAAAAAAATGCCTAAACATGGCTGAGGGCACTAATAAAAATTGTTTGAAGAGCAATTCACGTATAATCCCCATTACTGCATTGACACTAAGCTCTAAATATAACGTTATGTATGTCTGTATATAAATTGGCAAGATCGCGAAAGTCGAAGAAAAAAAAAATTGAACATGTGATGATCCGGCCAATAAGGTCTATCGTAATTAATTATCTTTTATCGTTATCGTTATCGTTTATCCTTAGATCGTCTATTGTTCTAATGTATACGTACATATACGTAGCTTAAAATGAGCTGTAATATAGACTATATATGATGGATTAATCATGACAATTTGCAGGCAAATTTGCCTGTATGACTAATTAAGGTATTATCGTCTAAAAATATTTATCCCGCGCTAAGCATGAATTACCATTTAAATGATATCACGGTGCAGCTTAGTGGTAAGCTTCGCATTTTTATACGTATGATCTCAAGCTCAAAAATTTTTTCAAAATAAAAATCGAGTCTTTCGAATAGTGTAAAGTAGTAACTGTATACTCTTGCTGAAGTATGTATTTAAAATCATTTTCTCTAAATATATTCTGAAATTTTTTTTTTTTTTTTTGTGATTACAACAGCTAACTAGATAATTTACGTACCGATACATCAACAAAGAAATATCAAAATGACAAAAAAAAAAAAAAAGATTATTTCTAGTCTCACGCGGTCATATGTTTATGATTACTAATCTTAAAAAAGACAGCAAGTCCACAAGACTAAACTGCGGTCGTACATAAATTGGTTTGCGGAGACAAAGAAAATTGAAGTTAATTGGACTTTTAATAGTCTCTAACGGCCTCCAATAATAAAGAATGCTAAATATATACGTAACTATAATATTCTTATTGTAAAGTTCTTTGTTATCCATATCTTATCTTTTTATATAACGAATAGCGATAAAAGAATTACATAACTGATAAATGTTTTTTGTACATACGTACGTACGTACTTCTGTACTTACCAAAGTGATCACCAGTCACGAGGATACGATTAAAACTATCTTCTGTGTATTAATAAAAAAGATTCCTTGCAAGATTGGGTCCTGTTCTTAACCCTAACCTTAACCCAAATTGCTATAGTCTAAACAAAATTCGCGGGGGCACAATGATGAAGTTTTTGTTGGTTCCGAAACTCCGTCAGGAGTCTAAACATTTTGCAGTGGCGCATTGTGGCACATTCGGATAAGCTTTTTTGGCTTTATGTTTCCGGTTAGGGTTCGTGGTTGTAGGCCTTGAAAAATCATTCATAGGTTGTAAAAAACCGTATTGGATTTACATGTATTTGAAAATCGGTTAATATTTAAGCTAAACCGGTTGAATTTAAACCGATTTTAATCGAGTT